GAAAGTTCTCGCTTCGTAATTTGTTCAATACTTCGAACGTGGCTCGAGTCCGTCCCGACCATCTGTCAAAGCCTCGTGCTGCGTACTCTCTCGCGGACTCTCTCTCTCGCACCGTCACCTCTCATTGGCCAGTGTTTTTCGTTAATAACTCGTAAACAAAGCCGCGGATTGCATTTTCGCAAAGGAAAAAGTTACTTCAAATGACCTCAGCTACCCCTCATTTTCGGCTGTTAAAATAATTGTGGGACACCCTGTATATAATTAGCCAATCAAACAATTATAACATTTACAATGTATACTTATATCCGCTATCAATATTAACTTCAATAATAATATGATATGACTTATATATTTCTCATTAAAAACATGCTCAATAAGATATATTCAGCCCCTACGAAAAATTAAAAATTAAATTAAGGATTTAATTAAATATATTAAATTCATCAAAAATTATGAAAAACTCAAAATTCAATAAAATAACGAAATTAAATCCTCTATTAAATATCTGAGGAGGTTTCTCTATTAATAATGCCACATTAAATCGATTCTATACTTTACATTTTATTATACCATTTATCATTCTATTATTAGTAATTATTCATTTATTTTTCCTTCACAATAAAAGTTCATNGGAGGTTTCTCTATTAATAATGCCACATTAAATCGATTCTATACTTTACATTTTATTATACCATTTATCATTCTATTATTAGTAATTATTCATTTATTTTTCCTTCACAATAAAAGTTCATCAAACTCTTTAGGGACAAGAAATAAATATTATTTAACAAGATTCTATCCATATTTTTGTCATCAAAGACATTTTCGTATACATATTAATTATTAATATCTTTATTATCGTCATCATAAAATCCCCGTATATACTCTCAGACCCAGACGATTTTATATTTTAGCTAACCCAATAATNAAACCAGAATGATATTTTTTTATTCGCTTACACAATTCTTCGTGTAATCCCAAATAAATTTGGAGGGGTAATTGGCTTATTCATATCAATTTTAATCTTATTGTTCATACCTATATTAAATTTAAATAAATACTCATCT